GATATGCTTACATTTTTAAATATGTAAAGTATGACTCTAATACGTATTCCAAGTAAATTTTATTCTTAAAACCTCCTCAGAATAATGTTACAAATCAACCACCAATCGAGATAATAAATGATGGTATTTCGCGGGAAACAACGAAAAAATAATTTTACCAAATTCTGATTACCAATAAACAAATCATAGAGTAATTACCTAATAATTAAACAAGCTCATATAATTTACGTTAATTTTTTTTTTTGCTAAAGATGTAATTATATTATTATTTTTATTATATCCCCTCCCTGAGGTACACCACTGGTTTGATTCTATTGCACTGAGCTAAGTAGGTTTTCCCATCCCCTCTGACACAAACAATAGAAAGTACGCTTAACATGATTGTATAAACAATTTAAATTTAATTTATATTTACCATTTTCAAAAGAGGTGCTGTAAGAAGGTCGTAAACGTTGTTATCACAGTTAAAAATTAAGGGGATTATATCTTTGCCGATCGATTATTTGTTTTAAATCGTGTGCAACTATTGACTAGATTAATTGTAATAATTTCAATAATAGTAATTTTGTAAACTGAATAATTACCAACTGAATTATAAGGTATATATAGTGTTCAATAAATAAAGAAACTGGTTTCTATTGTTCTGATTATTTCTAACGATTAACCCGTTTCCTTACTGAACACTCTGTATTTGTGTTTACGGGTTTACACCACTATACCTTTACTGAAAATTGGTCTTGATTATAAAAAACCAATAATCTGTAAAAGTTAGTTTACTTGTATCCATTTATCTTGCGCCCAATAAAAGTAAAGGTGACAAATAATAAAATTTCTTACTAAAATTTATGTTATAAAATAAATTAATATAATATACGATATAATATAATAATATATGTACTTATTTGTAGTGCGTGGCTATTTTATTAAAAATATATAATATATAATAGATGTATAAACAAATAGTTGATTAAATAACAGTAGTTAGCTTAAATATCATTTTTAAGCATGATCAGAAATTTATTCATTAAAATTACTTTTTTTTCTGAGAAAACAGTCGTTCCAAAACATAAATAAATAATATGTAATTCAACATCAATATTTGAATCGTGTGAATCAATGTAGGGGTCACAATCCATGCAGCAGGACAATTATAATCTAGTGACTTTCTCGATCTTGTTTGATATACTCGTCTTAAATTATATGTTATCAGTGACCTATCACTAGTCAGTCACGACCCTAGCTACTTAGTTTGACTTGGGTAGTATCGCGGATTTGGTCTTATCAATCTTGAAGCCAATGCATTAACTACAATGAGACCGAAATGGTATACCTGTAGTTTAATTAGCGTATACTCGCTAAAGATACGTGTACCCTTTTATGATACTTATCTAAATAACCGGTACACTTTCAAGAGCAGTAGCTAGTGAAAAAGGGAAGGATACATCGTGACTGTAACCGCGTACACTACTTTGTTAGAGATCTGTAGCTCGGTCATAACAAAGTGTTAAAGCGAATAGTAAATATGCCAATATAAATGTTTGTTAAAAGGTAATACTTAAGCTTATTTAACTTTCCTAAGGTTTATCCCTGTATATTAGTTATGCTAATTTTTTACACTAACAATATTTAAAATTTGTGTTTATTAAAGAAGTTTTAGGTACCAATTGTAACTCACTGTTACATCATTTTAGGCAATGGTATACGTTAGATACTTAAACCTTTATGTTTTTATGTTCTAGTTGGGTTTAACTAATAAAACATTTTTTTTTTTTTGAGGTTTAGGTAACGGTCAGATTTTTAAAAAATCAAAATTTAAGGTTTTGTTAAAAATACAATCTTGACCGGTAAAAACTCTTATTTTTTTCAAAATTTTAAACTAAACATTTAATAATTAGTAGCAGTATTTCCGAAGGGGTTTGGATGGTACCAGACACTGATATGCTTACATTATTTATTATGTAGAGTAATGTTTAAATCCGCCATTTATTAATAATAGTATAGTATATAATAGTATATTTATTAATAGTGAATATTTAACAGATACTATTTACCACCCACTTTAAACTGTACATAATAGAAAGTTCTTGTTAACGAAGAAATTAAATACAGTAAACTTTTTAATATGCATTAATCTAATTGAGTTAGAAAATGAAATACTTTAAACGTAACGAATTATTTAAAACTTTTTGTTTCTTCATTATAAATTAAATAATTATGAATGACTGAGATGAGCGGGCCATTTTCATATTTAATAAGAAAATAGCTAATGATCAAAATTATTTTAGTACGAAGTTTGTACTAAAATAAAATAAGATCACAGATCACATATTATAACAGATTTGAAATCGAAAAAGTACACGCGTTTCATGCTATGTAATTAAGTCAACAGTTTACAGCTGCTACGTTATCACTATTTTTGCCGATTAGCTAAATACTCATATGTCTATTTTTATCATACTTTCGTATCGCTTATGCAAAACAATGGTAACATTAAGCGCGTATGACTTTCTGGAAATTCCAATAAGACATGATACTACAATAATAATTCATATTAATGTCATATTGTATTTGACATCGATCTTATTTTATGAATTCAGATTTCTCAGAACAAAATTCTTGTTTATATTGAAAAACTATTAAAATGTTCTTCCATCTAATAACCTTAAAAATCTATTTTTTCTATTTAATTGGGTTTTGGTAACAGTCCAGTTTTATAAAAATTTAAAATTAAAGTTTCCGTCAATATTATGTTTTGCATATTTTGGGTTTCCAACCGGTCTTTTTTGGTTCGCTTTCAGTCTTTGGCATACATATATTTACATAACTTGTCACTCAGAAAAATGTATACAATTACAGAAATTTTAAATAATATTCTAAATAATCGTTTATCATTTTGTAGGAGGTGTATAACCTGCTAACTCTTCAGGTTACACCACTGGAGAATCTAAAATGGCCAACTCCCTCAATGATCATGGTAAACCTACATTTTAGGTAAAAAATTAACTGGAAAAAATATACAAGTGATATAAATCACTTCTTTGATAAATGACGTAATGCACACAATTTTGATAAACAAGTATTTTAAAAATATAAATTTTTATAAATAAATGCATTGTTTTAAAAATCTTGGCAATTTTGAAAATTTACAAACATTTTTAAAAATGAAGTGGGAATCGCAGCAATCATAGCAAAAACTTAGTATTCTTGACAAACCATTAGTCAAAATAGTTTAAAATTACTAATAAATGAATTATTAACATGTAAGGTATAACGTACTATCGTTCCACATTTTTTAACTTTAGTGTAAATATATTGTTCAAATTAAAAAAAAATTAAAAGATCACAATTTCTACAACATAGACGAAATAATAATCACTCAAAAACTAAAATATTTTAAAAATTTGCGACTATTAGCTTCGATGCTGAGAAGGTATTGGTTTTTTTTTTTTTTTGAGTCTGTTACCACTTTTTCTCAGCTTTCACCGAACGGATTTTTTTCAACGATACGTCAAAAGATCACAAATCGTATCTAGTCGAAGACATTACCCTCAAAAATTGAAAAAATTTCCCTCGTTCCCCGTAAATGGGGGAAACCTCCAAAAAAATTACAAATTTAAAAATCGTTAATTTTCGAAATTTTTTCAATTTTTTTTACTAAAAACTGCCGTAACTTTTTTAAAAATGAATATATCAATATAATTTTTTTTTTTATAGATGCTTGATGTCTTTACTTATCATTTGGTATATTTTTTTTGTAAATCTGACCCTTTATCTGCCCACAGGGGGGGGATTTAATATGACAACTCTTTTACAAAAAATTAAATTTTTCAACTTAATTTTTGAAAATGTTCCGAAAGGTCTGACACTTTTATATATATCTTAAATTAAAGCTTATGTAATATACTTTAATTTGAAAAAAAAAGAATTTGACCTCTGGACTTGTCTTCATGGTGAAAATAGCTGAGGAATGCTATTTTTGTGTAAATTTTCTTCATTTTATATTTTACATTTTTGACTTTAAAATGCTATAACTTTTTAAAAAATGTATGGATCAATACAATTTTTTTATGAGAAATAATATTTTTTAATAATCTCTTTTTCATTCGACATACTTTATCTGAATCAGGATACTAATAAGGAACTAGCAGATTATGTAGCTTTTGGAATAATACACCAATTTTTTAAAATTAAACACTATCTAAAGATTTGCATCGAAGCATTTTTTTTTATAATATTTATGAGTATATTTTCCAATAGTTTTGCATAAAAATTTAACTTTGATACCCATTTAATCGTTTAACGTGATAACCAAATTTTTAACTATAAGATTTGTAAAATACTAGATGACCACGATTACCCACTGACTATCGTTCCCTGATCTCTTCTAATCTCACAATGGTGAATTTATGCACCGCGGAAAAGTATAAATTGTAGAAACAACGTCAGTTAAAGCTTTCAAACGTGTCCCCAAAAATGGTAATAAGATTATTTAGTTAGCCAAAAGAAAGTTCTTTTTATAAATTAAAGTCCAATAATCTAATATATCCAATAAAATTATTAAAAATAAAAATATATATGTATTTTATCTTGAGTAGCAACTACTTAAATATGACTTAGTCAATATTTAGAACTTACTATTTTTTATTTATATCAAATAAATGATTCATAGGGGCTGAGAATATGAGATCATTAGGCGCTAACTTTTTCTTTATTTGATAATTTCCAAAAAAATGTTATAAAAAAATCGATCTAATTTTCTTGAGACGTCCTCTCATTACTCTTATGCAAACTCTGACGTCAGTATAAAATTCTAGAAACGTTCCTAATGCTATGCATTAAAACCATATATATTATAAATAAGACGTTCTTATTTATAAGATGAATGATCATAACGAAATATTTGTGTCCTCATCATTTTTTAACGAAAAAGATAACATACTAATAACACGTTATCAACCTGATAACAAAAATATTTTTGCATGATAACAGATCACAGTAATTTTTTTAAACATAATTTCTATGAAAAATTAACATTTTGATGTGATTACATATAATTGTGCATATAAATTAAAATATCTCCAATCTAATCATGATTTTCATTCGATTTTACACAAATCGTAGTTTAAATATTTTATCAGTAGCAAAAAGTGGTATATACTATCCTTTGTCTAAAATATATTTCTATAAACATTACAAATTTAAATATAAAAAATACTCAACTAATATTAACGTTTTGCCAAAAAGATGTAAAGTAGCAATATGTGGTGGAGGAATTATGGGTGCATCTGTAGCATACCACTTGGCTCAACTTGGCTGGGGTCATCATACTTTAGTAGTTGAACAAGGCGTGTAAGTAAACTTATAAAATCATTAGTAAATTTTTCAATTAATGGTATTTTCACAGTATTGGTGGAGGAAAATCTTCATTTTCATCAGACCTAGTCGGAATTTTTAAACCTTCATTAGGTCAAGTGAAGTTATGCCAATCTAGTGTCAGTCTATTTCAAGAATTAGAATTACAAGGTTATAAAACTGGATGGAAGCAATGTGGTAGCTTATGTGTTGCTAGATCACGTGATCGAATGCATGTTTTTCATAGAATGAAATCTCAATCAGTGTAATAATTACAACAATTTTTTTTATTCTATTTGACCTTAACTATGTTATTATATAAAAATCCAGTACGTAATTATTAAATCATTACTATAATTTAATTTAGAACAATATCATATACTTAATCTTCATTCGATTTATTGGTAAAATATTAATAATAATTTGTATAGTTTTTGGGGAATTGAATGTGAATTAGTAAATCCGAAGAGAGCTAAAGAAATTTGTCCACTCATTAACATTGACGATATTAAAGGTGCATTATGGATTCCAGGTGATGGAGTAGCTGACTCCTATCTGACAAACATATCTCTTTTAGATGCTGCCAAAGAAAAAGGTTTTTATTATATTTTATTACCATTTAATTAATCTAACAATACAAGAATCTTTTAAAATAATTTATGTTGAGGTTAATTAATAATACTTTTCAAAAGACCAGATTGATGATTTATTATTTAACTATAGGAAAATAATTTATTAAATATAAGTCATTTTTACTCTACAAACATAATTAAAAAGATGTTACGAACAAATACTTGGAAAATGCTAATTTTAGTTGATATCCTCTTAAAGAAACAAGACCTTTAAAAATGATATTTAAACTAATTATAACACTATATTTTATATTTATTTTTAAGCTGTAAAATTCTTTATCCAAAAATACTTATTTGATTTTACTAATTAAACAAATTATGTAGGTGTTACTGTTGTTGAAAACTGTAGACTAATGGAAGTGGTATGTGATCATGGAAAAGTAGTTGCGATTGATACTACAATTGGTTCAGTTGAATGTGATTATTTTGTCAATTGTGGGGGATTTTGGGCTCAAAAAATTGGTCAATTAAGCCATCCTACAGTTAAAGTACCACTTCATCCAGTTGAACATTATTATCTTCTTACTAAACCTATACTAAACATAGATCCTTTAATCCCAGGTATATTTTAATATTAAATTAACAAATTAAATCAAATTACTTCTCCAATATTATTAAAATTTAGATTAAATATTTATATTATAAAATGCAAAAAAAAAGAAAAATAATTTGTCAAATTGGTTTATATTGGATGTCATTGTGTCATGATAGTTTATTAATATTTTAGTAGAAATTTTATCTATAAAATAGATATTAAAAAAAAATTATTTTCTTTTACTTTTATATCATAATTATATAACACACAGGCATAATTTATTTATTTAAAATAATTGATGCTTATCAGCTTTTATAATATACAGTTGGACAAATATTAATAATAGCGTAATAATAAAATCAAATATATGTATGTAATATATAAACATGTAAAACACAAAAATTCCAAAAAATTAGATTGGTTACTTAGTTAAATAACTTATTAAAAAGAAAAATAATTGTTAAAAAATATGTTATGCAGATAAATTTTTCTCACAAAAAATTTAAAAAACAATTAAATTACAATTTTTCAAATATTAATATACTTTATGTATATTTTTCTATCATTTTGCTCTTCCCAATTGAAGGGGTCCATGCAAAAACGAGACAACTCCAATTTTGGCAAAAATGGTTTCCAATTAAGAAAAATTTGACGAGTATATCTGTGTAAGAAAGAGACAAATCCGACCAACGGTCTAGGAAATATAATGGAACTGGAGCCTTCTGATTTTTTTGTCAAAAAAATGATGTATAAAGTTATATTTAAATAAATAAAATCAGTTGTCTTAAAGTAAGAATAAATAATATTAATCATTTTTTGATAAAAAAAAAACTGAAATAATAAATATAAAGTTTGGATTAAAAAACAAGATAGCTCCAACAATTTCAGGTTAATTTTAGCTCACATCTCAAATCAAAAACCTTAATCAATAATTACGGCATCTTTTTCATCATGGTCTAATATATGTTAATTGATATTAACATCAGTTTTACCTTAAACTAAATATTTTTTAAATAGTTTTTTTTGTTTCTTGAAAAGTTTAAAAAAATGGAGTTGTCTCGTTTTTACACAGACTCCTTCAATTATTTGTAATTTAATAAACAAACAAGTTATATTTTTATATTCTTCACAAAATTTTCTATTTATTGGTAGTAATTTCACTATCATGAAATTAAACTAAAAATAGTTATAGTGAAAAGTTCAGATTTATTTTTTCTAAAAAATGCCTATTAAACTCAAATTATAAAACCTACATGATAACCACTCATACTTATAAAAATTAGGATATTTTATTGTAGGATAATAAATTTTTAATCAGTTTTTAACTTACTTTAATCTTTTATTTATTTTATAATATAGTTGTACGGGATCAGGATGGATATATTTATCTTAGGGAATTAAATGGTTGTATTTTAGCTGGTGGATTCGAACCAGAAGGAAAACCTGCATTTGAAGATGGAAAATGTCCAGGTGACTTATAGTAATAAAGTTATTTAAGAATATGATGTGTGTTATATTTCATATTTATTAATATTCATTTTTTATTCATCAGAAAATATGGAAGGAAGAAAGCTTTTAGCAGATTGGGATCATTTTCATATTTTATTTGAGCAAATATTACATAGAGTACCTTCATTAGCTGATGCTACACTTGATAGTTTAATTAATTTTGCAGAAACATTTTCACCCGATTGTAAATGGCTTGTTGGTCAAGCGCCTGAAGTAAGAATAAAAATATTTTATTTGAGTGCTATCCCACTTTTCTGATAACAATTATTATTTAAACATATATATTTCCCATTAAAATTATGTTGTTCCAGATTTTTGAAGATTTCTTTCTTACTAAAAAATGTATAATCACAGTGTGTTTTACTTTTTTTATTTTAATATAAATTACTATTACCTTAGCTTCTATATATTATTAGATAAATTATATAAATTAAATTTTTCCTCAAAAAAAAAAAAAATGTAATGTATGTTTATATTATAAGTTTTGATACTTATCCCTAGAAAGTTTTGCTAATTGCACCTTACATTTGTAAGTGTTATAAATATAATCAGTGTTGAGAAAAAAATTGTTATAAAAAGAATGTTTTCCTAAAACAAGTTCTTTTTCTAAGAACAATGCTATAAATGGCTTCTTTTAAAAATTAACCGTGTGTAAAAAATTTTTTTTATGAGGAAAATTTTATTGTATCTAAAATTTAAAGTAATTATAATTATCTAATTTTTTAAAAAAATTTTTATAGACATTGTAGATACAAATGTACTTTCATGTTGACTATTAATAATATTTTTTTATTGAAATTTGACTATCCTAATTATATATCTGTTCCTTTGTGTTATCAATATTTTATAATTTTAATATATTTACTGATATTAATAAAGTTTTCATGGATATAAAGTAAATTATTATACTATAAATATAATATTTTGAAAGCATAAAATCTTAGGCAAATTCTAGGAATCCAGAAGGGGCTTAGCTCTCCTAACGTAACCTTTCCTCTCCAAAAAAGTATGAATATGTTAGTTAATTTAAATAAAAAAAAATTTAAAGATTGAAGAAATTAAGTTCGTTTATTCACAAGACTATTAAATTATACTCTTATTTTATTTTTAAACTATGGTTATAATATTAATAATAATAATAACAAGATTTAAATATATTTTAACAAAATAAATTAAAAAGTTCTTATTTTATAGTATGAATACGTAGTAAGTAAAATTTATCCTTTCTCAAATTTAAATAGAATATAAAATTGTATTTGTATATTTCTACTAACAAAATGTGAAAAATTTGGTTTGTCTATTATGTAAGAATTTTGGAGGAGCTAAATTGGTTCCCTTCTCTTGACAAAAGATTTTATATAATAACTATTTTTGTGGGTGATAATGTGGTAGAATAGAAAAGAGGAAGGGACTACAGAATTTTTGGTCTCATTAAAACCATGTAAAAAAGTTCTTGACACACTTACAGTAATTTATCATATCAAATATTTGAATAATATTTAGGTATAGTATAGTTAAAAAAAAAACTGTTTAATTTTTAGAGTTCTTTTATAAATTACTTTTTTTTTTCTTTTTAGATTCATAATTATTATGTAGCTGCTGGTATGAAAACAGTAGGTATATCAGCTGCGGGTGGTGTTGGAAAAGGAACTGCTCAATCTATTGTTAATGGATACTCTGAATTCGACATGTATGAAATTGACATGAGTCGCTTTTTAGGACTTCACAATAATAGAAGATTTTTAAGAGATAGAGTAAAAGAAGTACCAGGTATTTAAACCACACTTAGAAGATTAAAGTGTTATAAAAATAAAAATCAAAACAATAATATTGATAATTTAATTAACTGATATAATTGTAGTACTTATTAGATAAATTATACAAGTCTAAGCTATTAAACTAGTTGAAAATAGTAAGAAACTATTTTTAAACGCTTTTTAGTATGTTGTGTTCAAACTGAAATCAAACCATTTTCTATAGAAATTAAAATTTTTTCTCAAGGTGTTTTAAATTTTTTAAAATACTAATTTTAATTAATTTTTTTTAATAACAGGTAGACATTATTCAATCCCTTATCCTCTTAATGAATTTGTAACAGGACGTAATTTAAGAATGTCGCCAATTTCTCCTAAATTAAAAGAAGCAGGGGCAGTATTTGAACAAGTTATGGGATATGAAAGACCAACATGGTTTGATCCTGAGCTGGCTCATGGTTAGAATTTAATTAAAGTTTACTATTTAATTATCATACTAAAGTTATGTTTTTATCATTTTAGCTTATTTGAATGGTACTGCCGATATCAATAATTTAAACATAGCAAGAACTAATACTTTTGGAAAACCAGATTGGTTTGATTTAGTCGAGGCTGAATATGAAGCTTGTAGAGAAAATGTTAGCCTATTAGACTATTCTACTTTCACAAAACTAGATATTCAAGTAAGTTTTAACTCTTAATTTAATTTGATTTTAATTGAAATATTATAAGTTAAAAAAACATTATTAAAAATAATCTTCTACACAATTAATTTTTTTCTGATGACATCAAAATCAGTAAACGTATAGTCATTTATTATTTTTTCACTTGTAAATTCTACTCTATCAATGCGACTTGCTGGACTTCCTACTGTTTGTAACCATTTTTTCATTGTTTCCACTTTGTCAGATGGACCTTCAAATGTACCAATAACAGTTCCAGCTGTTGTATTTTTACACCATCCTCTTAGTCCTAATAATTTTCCTTGTTCTTGAGTAAACTTTCTGAAGAAAACTCTTTGTACTGTTCCAAAGACTTCAAAGTCAACACTTAATAGATTTGTTGTCATACTATATATGTATGAATTCTACTTTACTTGTAAATAATTTAAATTTGACTATTAACTTTTAAGCAGTATAAATTATTTATTAGAATTACAAGTATATCAAGAATAATGGTAAGGCTATATTATATTTAGAAGTAACAATATATAGTAAGATAAAACCATGGCCATAGATGAAACTATATTTCTGATAAGAAATAAGTAATTTCTGTTAAGAGATAATATGATAAGAATCCTATTTTTATAGAACACGCAAATTTCAATTTATTAATATTAACAGTTATTTTAAACATGTTTTTTATTTTTTAAATTTTTATTATAATTTAAAATTTGTCCATTTTTTTAATATTAGATAAGTAATTTAATACATTTTTATAGAAAAATGGTATTTTTAACTTGAAAGTCACTTCCATTATAATATCCAAATTCTTAACATTTAGATTTATTTTGATTTTTATTAAAATTTCCGCATTCCTCATTCTTTTAGTAAAACTTGAATCATAAATCATAAAAAAAATTTGTTATCATTTAAAATCAAATTTTTATTTATCATCAAAAAATGAATTACCGTGTTACTTTCATACAATTATACACACATTATATAATATACCTTTATTAATGCTGAATTTTTAATTATTTATAATTTAAATAATTGTTTTCATTTTTATAAATTCAATGGAATTTAGTATAGAATAGTAAAATGTTAAAAATGGTATTAACATTATAACTAATTAAAAGTCAACAATTAAATAATGATCTTATATAAATATTAAAATATTTAAAACATAAACAATTTTAGTCCAAAGATACGGAAGTAGTTGATGCTTTACAATATCTCTGTTCCAATGATGTTGATGTACCTATTGGTAGCATCATTCATACAGGAATGCAAAATGTCCGTGGTGGCTATGAAAACGATTGTAGCCTTATAAGATTATCTTATAACCAGTGAGGAACTATAATTACCAAATTATTTTTAAATTTTATAAATATCAAAGGTATTTATTTTTAGTTATATGATGATTGCTCCAACAATACAGCAAACTCGGTGTAAAATTTGGATTCAACGACATTTACCTACTGATAATTCAGTTGTCCTTACAGATGTTACATCAATGTTTACTGCAATTTGTATTATGGGACCATTTACTCGACAACTTCTATCAGAATTAACTGAAACTGATTTAAGTCCAAAATCATTCCCCTTTTTCACCTATAAAGAGCTAGATGTTGGCTTAGCAAATGGAATAAGAGCATTAAATATAACTCATACTGGAGAATTAGGCTATGTTCTTTACATACCAAATGAGGTAAATATATCTTGAACAAAAGAGTAATATGAAAATAAAAGACTTTTTGAAAATTAATAAAGTAGACTCTTATTATATCAAAACTTCAGGAGAACAATAAAAAGTTTGAGATATCGAAAACTTTAAAATATTGAACTTTATAAAAACATAAAAATTTGTAAAACATAATTTAAATTTAACCCATCAACGCCTGGCGTCCCCATATGGTGACATTCGTATTGCTATTTTTATCGCGCGTTCTTAGAATAATAATTTAATAGGTAAAAGCCGAGTGTACCCATATGGTGACACTCAATATCTCAGAAATCGTATTTTCAAAAAATTTAAAAAATAATTTTTTTTTATTTTTGTGTTGTATATTAATCTGTTTTTAGTAAAAAAAATAGAAAGTTTGAAAAAAAATAATTCTCGGCGTTGATGGGTTAAACAAAATTTATATCTTACTATAAAAATATATTATGATGATATTTTTATACCAAAATAATAATAGTCCCCAATTGAGGTTTCACTTATTACTCACTTTTTAAATATAAAAAGTCAAAATATAATTTATATTATAAAAAAAAACTTTATGAAAAGTAATTTTTTGTTTTAGTTTGCTTTGCATGTATACAATTCTCTTATACTAGCTGGAAAAAAATACAATTTAAGACATGCTGGCTGCTATGCAATGAAAGCTTTAAGGGTGGAAAAATTTTATGCATTTTGGGGTCAAGATTTAGATACTTCGACTACACCCTTGGAATGCGGTCGTTCATGGAGAGTAAAATTTGATGTAAGATGAATGTGCTAAATAACTTATAATAATATTAAGTTATAAAATTTTAAATATTGTAGAAAGGCATCAATTTTATTGGAAGAGATGCATTACTTCGTCAACGAGAAGAAGGTATAAAACGAATTTATGTTCAGTTATTATTGAATGATCATGATCCTGATATAGAATTGTGGTCATGGGGAGGTGAACCAATTTATAGAAATAAAAAATATGTTGGTGCAACTACAACAACTAGTTATGGGTTTACATTTAAAAAACAAGTAACTTCATTATTTAATTACTAATTTAATAATTGTTCAATATATTGCAGTATCAATACTATGGGTATATCTCTATAAATGACATTTTGTGATAATTTACTTCTAAGTTTTGATCTCTCATTGAGTTACATTGTGTAATTTCTTTTTTTTTGTATTCAAAATAATATTTATATTACTTTTTATTGATAGAGCTTGAATCATTAGATAGAGAATACATTTTATTTCATTGTTATTATCTCTTTTGTCTCTATCCTAACTATCTGAGGTTGGTTCTACCTTATAATGATTTGACAGGATTTTTACACTGACTGTTGATCTGACGTAATCTCATTATGGCTAAGAGAGACTATAAGGTGTGTAACACTTAAAATTCCTGTATGGTCATAGATCTGGGGACTAATAGTAAATAGTGTTGCTGATCATCAACACTAATATAGTGATTGAATAATCCACTGCGCTAAACCACACACAGAATAAACTATATATAATTGTCTAAAATTTTAATAATAATATTTTTTAATATATGTTCCTATTGTAGTTATAGCGATATAATTATTCAATTATTATATCCCCATTCTAAATGCATTCCATTTTAATTATAGGTTTGTCTAGGCTTCGTTCAAAATATAGATAATTTAGGTAACACTCATCCAGTTACAAATGAATATGTAATGGCTGGTGAATATGAAGTTGAAATTGCAGGAATAAGGTACCCAGCCAAGGTTAATATAAATAGTCCAAATTTACCAACGAAATATCCAGATAAGGAACGTGAATCATACTTTGCTACTAGAGATAAAATGGTATCAGAGCCTCTATTGCGACATTAATAAAGATCTTCATTGTGTCCATTATTTTCATAATACCCTAAATTATACAAATAATGTTCCCTAAATATTTTTCTGTATTAATATATATTTCACAAGTATTATCATATAATATAGCTGTATAAGCTGTAATTTAATATTTGATATATCCTTTTTTTATGTTTGGGCTTTATATGTTCCACAAATAAAAACTATTCTAGTCAAATTATCAGTTATTTTTCTTTGTCATTATTAAATCATTTTAATATAATAAAAAATGTGTAAAAAAAAATGACAAATTTTATTTTTTATTGAATAGCATATAATAGTGTTAATAAACATAACACTGTGTTATGCTTATATTGTAAAATAATTTAAACTTTATTCAATATATAATATTACTTATTGATATAGATAGGAACATAGTTAAGTGTAGTTGAACCTCCAAACCGTCTCATAAATTATTCATATCTACATCTATGGTTATGAAAAACACAAGGCTAAATAATTATAATAATGTAAGATATTAATTTCTTTTACTTGTTGGCAAAAAAAAAAAGCTATATTTCTATTTATTTTTCAAAATGCATCACTTTTAATAGGATGAAAAAAATTTAAACCTTTAATCTTTTAAAACCTAAAACTATTTTATATATAAAGGAATTGATCAAAAATATTTTTGAGAATTAATTGCTAGCCTAAATTAGATAGCCATATACTTACTTATTTACTGCAAAATTGACGTGAGTCTAAAAATTTCATAAGTGCTCCTTGAAAATAAAGCAAGATAATTTTAATAATAAAAAGACAACCCAGCACAGTGGGGTCGTGGCATAGTTGTTTCCAGTATAGATGATATCTGACAGTGATTAAAATCACTATCATAAAAAACGCGTCGATGCAAATCTGTAGATAGTGTTTAATTTAAAAAATAAAATTTGTTAAAATAGCATATTTTTGAATATGGTAGCCATTTGCGCATAGTAGATAGGTCGTCGGGACAAATTTTTTTTTTTCATTTTATAGTACATGACATAAGTTTTAATTTTGATATACGTTTAAAGGATGCAGTATTTTCGGAACATTTTCAAAAATTAAGTTGAAAATGTTAATTTTTGTAAAAAAGTTGCTATTTTAAATCTCCCCCAATGAGCAGATTAAGTGTTAGATTTTCAAAAAAATGATATCAAATGAAAAGAAAATATCTAAGGTTTTAGTATAAAAAAAAATTATGTTGATTTGTTGATTTTTCAAAAAGTTATGGAAGTTTTAAGAAAAAAAAGTNTATAAAGGAATTGATCAAAAATATTTTTGAGAATTAATTGCTAGCCTAAATTAGATAGCCATATACTTACTTATTTACTGCAAAATTGACGTGGGTCTAAAAATTTCATAAGTGCTCCTTGAAAATAAAGCAAGATAATTTTAATAATAAAAAGACAACCCAGCACAGTGGGGTGGCGGCACAGTGGGGTCGTGGCATAGTTGTTTCCAGTATAGATGATATCTGACAGTGATTAAAATCACTATCATAAAAAACGCTTCGATGCAAATCTGTAGATAGTGTTTAATTTAAAAAATAAAATTTGTTAAAATAGCATATTTTTGAATATGGTAGCCATTTGCGCATAGTAGATAGGTCGTCGGGACAAATTTTTTTTTTTCATTTTATAGTACATGACATAAGTTTTAATTTTGATATACGTTTAAAGGATGCAGTATTTTCGGAACATTTTCAAAAATTAAGTTGAAAATGTTAATTTTTGTAAAAAAGTTGCTATTTTAAATCTCCCCCAATGAGCAGATTAAGTGTTAGATTTTCAAAAAAATGATATCAAATGAAAGGTAAATATTTAAGGTTTTAGTATAAAAAAAAATTATGTTGATTTGTTGATTTTTCAAAAAGTTATGGAAGTTTTAAGAAAAAAAA